ATATAGAATATATATATATACCACCACTTCTTTATCCAATTGTCTATAGATGGGCATTTAGGTTGTTTTCATATCTTGGCTATTGCAAATAATGCTGTAGTGAACATAGGGACGCATATATATTTTCGAATGAGTGTTTTGAATTTTTTTTTTTTAATTAAAATCCAGATGCGGAATTGCTGGGTCATACGGTAGTTCTATTTAAAATTTTTTGAGGAGCCGCCATACTGTTTTCCAGAGCGGCTTGCCCAATTTACATCCCCACCGCCAGTGCGGGGGGATTCCTTTTTCTCCACCTCATCACTAACATTTGTGTTTTGATTTGTTGATGATAGCCATTCTGACAAGTGTGAAGTGATATCTCATTGTGGTTTTAATTTGCATTTCTCTGATGATCAGTGACATTGAGCATCTTTTCATATTTCTGTAGGCCATCTGTATGTTCTCTTTGGAGAAATGTCTCTGCCCTTTTTAAAATAAAATTATTTGCTCCGCAATGGTAACATAAAACCAAAGAAAGTACCAAGAGAAAGAGAAATGGATTGTGTGCAGATAGATATCGGTACAATGCCTAAGAAATGAGTAACGTACCAAAGTAAATAAAAGGCCCAGAGTTACAGAGAATAACCAGATATGTTTATTAGCATTCTGAGTATTCCTCGGTTTTGTTGGTTCTGTTGCTGCTTCTTAAAGATAGTATTAATTTTCACCCTTTAGATGTGTAAATAAGGAGGTAAATGGGTAATAAGAATAAGGCAATTAATAATTAAAAGTATCTTTTAGACATACAAACCAAAATGTTTACAGATGAAACAATTTGATGTCTAAGTCTCAAGATGATTACAGTAGGGGAAGTGAGTGGGGCCATAAATGAAACTCAGGAGCTACAGTTCTCCAGGACACCAGAAGATCCAGAACAGGCTGATGTTTTGTTTTGAAGGAAATGGTCACTTTAAATCACTTTCCCCAAAGGGCAGATGCTACCTGTTGCTACAGCAACAAGCTTTGAGATGGTAAATTAAACCTCTGCGAAGAAATCATGTGGGACTGAGAACTAACCAGCACTTCCTCCAAGTCTCCAGTTCCTGGCAGAACAGTGTGCCAGAGTCACCAGAAGCCCCAGAATAAACCCAGGGCTTCGTCCTGGAGGGGCATTAATTAAAAACAGAAGTTAATTTAGGGGGAAAACCTCAAATCAAATAAAGGGATACCATTAAGAAAAAATCTGGGGAGTGGGTTGAATTTTTGAAGAAAAATACCCCCCAAGGTGTTGAAGGGGAGATTGTTGGGGCTAAAGTCACCTCCCACTCCCAGGGCCCCACAGGACCAGTGGGTTCCAGTCTTCTGCCTCTAAGATAGGATTGTGAGTGGCACCAGGAAGTGGATGGGTGGGGTGACCAACTCAGACTTCCCAGATAGCACTGATTCTCCCTAGAGTGACAGGAGGAGAAACAAGGACCCTTCTCTGAAATGAAATGTTAACAAGACAAAAATGATTATCATTCTCTAGTCTAAGATTGAGTGTAGGATAAACTTTCAGGCTGGCTAAGAATTAATAAAAAACATTTTCAGTATACTTATCCTCTTTGATGTGGTTTAATTGAAATCCCATCTTGCTGCTCTCATCAAGTTCATATATTTATTGTCTTGGGAGTGAGAGTCCACAGCTGCAAATTTGAATAGACCAAACCAGACATACTATCTTGAATCTCCAAAGCCACACTCATTGTTGAATGATATGACTAGATAACTATCCCTATCCGGTGTCCTGATTAATGAGACATCAACAATAGTAACTAAGGCCAAAAACAAACAAACAACGCAACAGTCTTCAGGTATACAGATCGTAACTTGTATCCATGTGTCTGCTAATTGTACATGAAGTGAACTTGAGAGTTTGGACTTTGGAGGAGTTACAAGTCCCTCTTCATGTCTGAGCATAGGTGGTTAGAAGCTGGGGTTCTCCCACAAGGCAGGGATGGGTTTAAATCCTGGCTCTACTACTTGTTAATTGTATGACCATAGATAAGTTACTTAATCTCTCTGTGCCTCAGTTTTTTATTCTGTAAAATGGAGGTCGTAAGGACCTAAAGAGATAATGTATTCCAAGTGCTTAGTGCATAGAATATGCTCAACCAATATTAACTCTCCAGTGTCTTTTTTGCCTCACCCCAACTACTTCTATTAAAATGAAACACCAGAGGAAATAGTAGGACTCAGCTCTAGAGAATCATTATTTCTCTAACAATCAATGAATGGCTCACAAATTTGACAAATGCTCTGACCAGCCCAGGAAAAGGGAGAAGTCTGTTCTGGGGGAAGGGGTGAGGGGCCCAGATTTCACCCAGGTGAACGTGCCACATGGCTCCAGGTAGCAAGCAGGATGAGTGCCAAGAGTAGCTAGCTGAGTTTTCAAGCTCCAGGTGAACCTTACCCTCAGGAAAGAGTTACACACAGTTAGCTTCATCTTTTATTTACTCAAATACATGTACAGGTGAATGCAGCAGTTTAAGCTTCCCTTAAACTCAGTTCACTCCTTCTGTTACCACCGTCTCCCAGGTATCTGCTGAGTGCAGTGTTCTCTGCTTGGTTCCACCATGGAGTGGAACCGAGTCACCATCACAAATGCATCCAGCCCAAACGGTGCCTTTTGTTAGTAAGTCAACGAGGCATCCATCAGATTCCATGACTTCTCCATCGGAGGAGGAACAGTAGAACATTATCCTCCAGTCGGGCATCAAGAAAATTGAATTAGAGAAGAAAGACAAGAAAAAAAATTGAATTAGAGTAAGAGGGTAGTAGAAGAGGTACAATTAGAAGCAGCCAGCCAAGTGCTCTCCTCATCAGTGGAAGGAATCAAGGATAGGAAAACTCTTAGCCCACATGGATAGTCCCTCAAATGGGTGTTGATGTTGACTCTGAAGGTCAATGAGACAGACGGTTGTCATTCATGGATAACTATTCAGAAATCTGTTCAATGTTTGGGTCCAAGGAATCGGAGGGCCGGCAGATCATACAGGCTTTGAGGATCAAGACATAGGTTTCCTTGAATTTTTTTATTTTATAAGCATAAACGATAGGGTTCATCATGGAGTTAGCATGGGACAGCAAGATGCCCAATTTCAGCACAACTGTTGGCACATGGCCATTAAAGTAGATGATACAGTTGATGATGCATAAAGGCAGCCAGGACAAAGCAAACAGGAAGAGAACTAGAAATAGAGACTTGGCTGTCTTGAACTCCCGTCCATAAAATGCGCCCGTGTCTTTGGAGTTAGAAAGGCTCTGACTGAGTTTGTTTCGGATGACACAGAAGATGTCAATATAGATGGCGCACATGACAACCAGGGGGATGAAAATCCAAGTTAAGAAGCTGAAATAGACCATGTAGTCCATCTTTATGACAGAACGGAATTGGCAAGGAAGATAGGTCATATTTCCGGGGTACCCTGAGGTCAGTTTCATGTTCCAGCCAAACATGGGTATCGATCCCACCAGGAATGACAGCAGCCAGCAAAGGCCCAGGGCGAACCATATTCTTCTTTGAGTGGTGACCCTTCTGTATCTGTTTGAATGGAAGAGAGTTGGTGAGTTCACAGTAGGAATTTGCTAAAGTGTTGGGGGAGACAGAGCTGATAGAGGAGACAGAGTGGGAGAGTATTAGTATTCTATGATAATTTTGGCTTAATTCTACTGGATATGAAGACCAAATGAGCAGATAATGATTAGAGAAAAATCCACAGGCTTCTCTGGGGGACTTTCTAAAAGTACAATCTAGAATGGATCAGGAATATGTTACCTAGACTCAGGTGCTTGCACACCCCACTCACAAAGTCCATTTCCAGCCCAAGAATTCTTGGGAGGTAAGAGTGATCTAAGTCCCCTGGGATTGCCTACCTGCTGAGAAATGATCTCGTCAAAGCACGTTTGTCTGCTGCGCTCTGCATTTTTTGGTTTGTTGGCCTTTTCTTTCTTTCGTTCTTTCTTTTGGGGGTGGGGCTATCATACTGATGTGCATTAATAATACTCTGTCTCCCCCATAACCCCTCTTCCTGTGCCTGGCCTGCTTCTCTTCTAGCACTGGCGCCCACACTTGGTGTTTGAGTTAAATGAATCCATGGAGTCGGGAAGGTCATGTTGAAATGTTTCTGGCACCTTAAAAGGCTCATCCAGTGAGAGTCACCATTTCTCTTTAAACCATGCTTCCTGATAACATTCTACACAGATGGCAAGAAGGAAACTGATTGTGTTAAGTACTACGTACTCAGTAGACTTTCTCTAAATGAAATCAAATAAATGAGAGAGATATTACCATTCATTTCATTGATGGTAATAGTGGGAGTTACAGTTACCATTTATTGAGCACAGACTGTGTGCCAGACATTTTTCTAAGAGCTTTATATGTGTTAACTCACTTAACCTTATGAAGAAGGCGCTATTATTGTCCCCATTTTATAGGTGAGCAAAATGAAACGGACAAATCAAGCAACTTGTACAAGCTAGAAGGGGTAGAGCTAAAATTGAAAAGTGAGACTGAATTCGGAGCATTTCAACCACTATGGTAAGACGAGGAGCTGAAGCAGAGAAAGTTCAACAACTTGCCCAAGATCAGATTTCAAGATCCGGGATTTGAACCCAGGCTTGTTTCTATCAAAAGCTCGTCTATAGCCCTCTCACTATGTTCTTTCTCTGAGAGAGGAGAAACGTGAGACCGATATAGTCGGGACACTTGGGGAATTCGATTTCTCCGGATGGTGGTCTGTTCTGTTCGCGTGGTCACGTGAAAGGCTGTTACTACTTTGTGCAGTGGAGAACTTTTCTGATCCCCTTCTCAGCGTGGAAGAGGAAGCAAAGTTAAGATAACCTACATTTGCAAAGAAGGAAACCACCAATATAGCTCCTGTTATTCTTATCTGTCTGTTTCTTATCTATCATTTCTAAAAGTCAAGAGCATTTATTTTTTATTTTTTATTTTTATTAAAGATGCATCAAGCTTTTATCATCTTTAGCTCTCCTGGCTAATAGAGTAGACATTTCCATAGTCAGCAGAGAGGCATTCTTCTGTTTCTAGTTCCTGAGTTTCAGCTCCTCATGGCTAAACTCCTCACACACCAATGGTGAAAAGAACCTCGTTCAAGCTCAGAGGCCAATCTGAATTTGTTTTCACTCAAAAAGTCTGAGATCTGAACTTTGTAGCCCCATTTCCCAGGCACCTCTATCACTGCTTTGCACCACCCCTCTTCAAGCAGATTACCTGACCGTGAGCTTGACCCGCAGGTATCGGTCCACAGCAATGGCTAGCAAGGACATGATGGAGGCATGAGTGAAAATCAGCAGCAGGCAGGCCATGAGAAGGCAGCTGTAGTAGTGGATCGTAATGCCCAGGCTGACGACAATGGCCAAAGGTATGACCAGCACCCCAACAGCAATATCAGCCAGGGCCAGGGAGACAATGAAATAGAAGGTGGTGGTCTGAAGGCTGGGGTTCAGCTTGACCACCCAGATGACCAGCACATTGCCCACTATGGCGCAGAGCCCAATGACAATCTCCATGGAGATGTAGGTAATGCTGGTCAACAGCAGAGCCGTGCTGTTGACAAACATCTTAGTTTCCCAGAGGAGCCTCCCAGGTGACAGACGTGAACGTAGCTCTTGCCAGAGGTCCAGGTGCAGCAGCAACAGTCGGAAACTCACAGTTCACTCATTTCTTCTCTTGTACAGTGGCGCGCTCTCTTGCAGGACCTCCCTGCCTTACAGAGAGCCCATCACAGGGCAGTCAGTTCCAGCCTCTCTGCAGGCCACATATCACCAGGGTCCCGGAAGCCTGGAGGACAGTTCTATGTGGGCTGAATCTGATGTGCTGCTGATCTTAGTTTCCCGGATAGATGTTCTCAAGGCCTCTGCCCTCCCCTACTGCCGAAGGGCTACTGAAACTCTATCAAGATAAGCAACCCTTTCAGGGTTTTTTCAGGAAGTGAGATGGGCCAAGAGGAAGCACAGAGCCAGGAACACTCAACAAAGAGATGGAAAGAACAGAGGAGGGGGTGTGGATGGCCGGGAGAAGACTCAGCATTCATTCAACCAGGACTGGATGAGAGTGTAGCTCTGGGTGGGAGAGGAGCTGGGAGCACTGTAATATTCTGGCTTTCTGCTAGCTTAGCAAACAACAACAACGACAACAACAACAAAACCCATGACAATGAGGCGAACAGGAGACAGAGAAACAAGGAACAGACTTTGGTGGCAGGCTCTAACCTTAGTCAGAATTTACTCTTTCTAGTGCATGCAACATAGAGATTAACTGTGCATGTCCCCCTGAAATTCCTATGTTGAAATCTGCCCCTAAAAGTGATGTCTTTTGGAAGTGGTGCCTTTGGGAGACTACTAGGTCATGAGGGTGGAGTCCCCATGAATAGGATCAGTGATCTTTTTAAAGACCCCACAGAGCCTCCTCACCCCTCCACCATCTTTGAACCCGGAAGTGGGTCCTCATCAAACACAGATTCTTCCTGTGCCTTGATCTTGGACTTCCCAGCCTCCAGAACTGTGAGAAATAAATTTCTGTTGTTTTATAAGCCACGCACTCTTTGCCGGGCACAGCTGGAACCCAGCCTTTGTTATCGAAGTCTTTTGCCGAAGGGACAAGCTAAGATCAAATAACCAGCACATCCTGTAAACATCACACCTGCCGTCACTCCATCTCTCCTCCTCAGCCCACACATCTACCATGCCTTCACGCTAGCAACAGCCCATGTCAGACCTACCTGAGGAACCACAGGACAACAGGATGACCGGCCGTGGAGAGCAGAGGGAAAGGACGATGTGTACACATGATTGTATGGCATAGCCTTCCACCCTCCTGCCACAAACCCCACCCCTGCCCTGCAGGAGCGGCTGTCTGTCTGGGAGTCAGGTCCTCTCCCTGAAGTTGCTCACCTGTTCTCGGCTCCTGGGAACCAGACACTTGAAGGCAATTGTTATTTGGAGCCCACCTAGTTCAGGTGCTTCTCAGTGCCTCCCAAAGGGGTTATTTAGAGAGACAGCAAAAGGAAGAGTCAGACCTAAGCCCACACAGTGGATTGGAGGATTTATAATATTTACCTTAAAGCACCAATCTATGCACAGTCAAAAATAAAAGTTAGCAGTAACAAAGCATCGTTCTGGGGTTTACTACCAGCACTTTTCACTGGGGCACTGGCGAGACGCCTCAGCCCGGGGCCTTCTGGGTCTTCGTTAGCGTTTCTGCTTCTTCATCGACCATGGAGCCCCGTCGCAATGCCAGGTCAGCCCGCCCCTGTCTGAGTGCCATGCTTGCCCCTCAGAGGCCTGTCAGGTCTTCCCGAGGGAACAAAGGGGCAGCCCGCTCTGACTGCTCTCTGTCACTCCGGCATCTCACACTGTCAGCTGTGCCCATGTCCCTGCTCTGAGGGAACTCGAGAAACTTTGTCAGTGTCCAATGTGGCTTCATAAATGTCTCTACTGCAACTGCTTTCGTTATCTCTGCTTCCGAGGAGGTCGCAGAGAGTAATTTCTAGGAGGATTTGTGCTAATGGAACAAGCCATTCTCACTGTATAGCGATCTTTGAGTCTTGATGACTCACCGTAAAAAATGCACCCTCCCCCCAACCCTCAGCACCCAGGAGCACCAGAGAACCTTGTGAGAGAAGGACTCTCTGGTGGAGGGACGAGTCGTGTTGCTGGTTGCAGCGCTCGGACAGCTGAGGAGTGGTCTTCCTGGAGAGCTTGGCAGCCCAGGGTCTGCTCGCCTCAACCTGGGGGGTTTGAGGAAGGAAGGAGTGGACCAGTCTCAGAGAGGAGCATTGACGTTTGATCTAGGTGTGGGAGCTGGTCAGGCAATGGACGGCTCCTGCACTTAGAAAGAAAAAGATTGTGGCCCTTGGGTGGCTAGGGGCCTGAGCTGTGGGGAGAGGAAAGGTGACAGAGGCCAGGAAAAGTGCCTGAGCCTCGGGTCCAGGCCATGGCAGAGGCCTTAGGGATGGAGGTGACAGCGGGAGCTGGAAACCTGACTGGTGTGTGTGTTCAGATTTTTACCCCTTTCTCCTCCTTTAGCACCCATGTGAGTCCTTTGGGAACCAGCCCATCTCAGCCGGTGCAGAGCCAAATGACAATCTCCATGGTTTCGAAAGGAGATGGGTTTTGTTCAAGCACCAGCCACAGAGCAGCATGGAGGGGACAGGAGAGCCTGTGAGGGAGTAACCCACGAGGAAAAGGGGAGGCAGGGGACATACTTGGGGTCACCAACCAAGGCTCCTCCTCCCACCTGGGAATTCTGTTTCCAGAATTCTCTGCACAGTGCTGAGGAATTTTCTCTCTTGAAGAAGGGAAGCCCGTCCTTTCTGTTTTCTGAGCAGAAAGCCCCTCGCTACTCAGGGCGGGGCGGGGCGGTGTTATGATTCGAGGGGTACAGGGAAAGGCTTTTACAGTCGCTTAACGTTTTGGCCTAAACGGGGCCCTCGTGTCCTTTTCATTCTAGATTTAATACCAAAGGGCG